GCTCCGATCTATTGGTGGGGAGCATCACCTGCTGAAAAACGGGTCCAGCGTCCCTTACATATATCATTAATCATTTTGCAGCACTAGCTGGAAAATGGGTCCAGCGTCCCCTTCTTATAACTTTACTAGCATAGAGCGCCATTGGCTCTGCTCTGATCTAGTCCTAGAGAATCCAGATGCCTCTTCAGTCATTCAGAATGACCGCCAGGACAAAGAAGATAAACCTAGCACCTGTCCCTATAGACTTCCACCTATCTCTTTATACTTGCTAACCACCTTCCTCTCCCCCAAACCATCCTAATTCTACCAACGCCAGCGCAGGAGGAAAAGGGTCAGAAAAAAAAACAGGTGATCTCAAAGAAGCTCCTGGATGGATAACAAACCATTTTTGGAAGGAGATATGGTAGTCCCGCTTAAAGGCCCCCTCATCCCCCTCCCCTCTTGGCCATTCCATACTCCCCAGATTCCCCCCTGATACATCCCCCAACCATTTCAGGTTAAACTTTGAGATTCTCTGCATGATGTCCTTTTTTTGTTTAAATTGAATAAGTTTTAATTTTGTCTTTTCCCATTGTGATCTGATTTCAGACTGGACAAATTGCAGGATTATATCAACCACCTCTTGCCTTCCGATTATAACTCCTTCCATATTGCTTATACATCTCTTAAGCCATAATCCCCATAGCACCGCTTTTCTGCCCACATTAAATAGGTTCTGTTGAAAGTCCGATAGCTCTACCCCAATAGGAGTCCAATGCCCTAGAAGAATCGCCCTCCAGTCCCATGGCCAGTCTATGTTTGTCAATTTCCTCCATACATAGTCCCATTCTCGCCAGAGCAATACTGAACCCGGACATTGTAGAAAAATATGCTCAATAGTTTCTCTGATCTTTCGACTTGGAAAGGCTTGACAACATGATCTACACCATGGGTCTGCCTTACCTTTTTGCTCCAGGGAAGAGTGATCTATTAAGCAATCATTTGTAGATAGACATCTGTGAATTATTTGCCATTGTAATTATGCAAACTTAGTTGGTCTTTCCTTAAGACCTTTGTACCACTTCAGTGGTTTGAGCAGTTCCTTATTTATATTTAGGTGTTTGTACCATCGTTCTTGTAATATTTCTGAAACCCCCACCTTAGGACGTAACAACCTATAAGAAGCCTTTACACTTAGAGRCGRCAATCTTAAGGGTTTGCTTCTCCTATTTGGACGCCATACCCATTCATCTGMATCCAGAGGTAGCTCCGGTATAGKCACCTGTGGTAAAAACAGTCTCCACCTCTTTGTCTTTGTKCAATAAAAAGCCCTTATCCTAAACATRTCTTCGAACTTAGAAAAGATAACTCTTTCTTGATCTCTGTTGGAAATCCTATTATCTTTTTGAATCCTCAAAATATTAACCAGGGCTCCTTCCTCGTGTACATCCATGATTTRTCCTATGTTCGTGGACCCATCTTGGAAATGTATACTCACCCARTCTRCTGCTTGAAATACCGAGYCTTTTTTTAGCACCAATGTCCAAGCCAGGGGAATGGATGAGATAATTTCTTCCAGATTGTCCATTAACTTATGTGCATACCTAATCTCTTTTTTAAGCATTTATGCCGTCTTCTAAGTTTTATTTCTCAAATCCCATAAATCCTTAACTCTTATTATTCCATTCTTAACCCAGTTAGACCACGGAGAGTCTGAGCTGATATAGACCCTGCCATGCTGGTCCAAAATCCATCTATTGCCAAAAAGAGGTTGGCGCAAAACTTCCTCACACCTATCTGGTATGGCCTTGTTTGGTATGGGAGCTCTCCAGGTTTTCAGTAAATTTGCCCAAAAGCCATCCAGTCTTAGATCCCTCCTGGGCGCACCTCTTATCCCTGTCTCACTGTAATTTATTTGAGTACGAGGAATAGTCCAATACCTATCTTCTACCCAGGTCAGGGGGTGCACCTCTTCCTTGGTTTGAGGCGTCAATCTACGAATTTGTTCCAAGGCCAGACTTTGCCACGGAATTTCTGTCTCTAGAATTAAACGTTTGATCACTTGAAGTGTCAGAGCTTGGCATTGTATTTTTGGATCAATAAGTCCTATCCCCCCCTTGGACTTTGGTTGAATTAACATATACCAAGCAACTCTTGGTATCACATGTGATATTTCATGATCCCCTCCCCAGAGAAAAGCTGAAAGCTGTCTTTGTATTGCCTTAATAGGCTGTTTATTCAAAGGCCATATCAATGATTTGTACCAGATTGAGGCCAATACCACATTGTTAATTATTAGCGCTCTTCCAAAGATTGAGGTGTGCTTATTCTTCCATATCTTCATTTTTTCTAGTGTCGGGGAAGAAATCCATAGATCATTAGAATTCGGTTTTCCTTGAGATGTAAGACTTACCCCTAAAACCCTAATGGGTGCTTCCAAAGGGACCCACTTGATCCTAGGACACTCTGGAGGCCTTCCTCCTTGTGAATGGATCCACCACCCCAATGTTTTGTTCCCCCAGTTGACCACCCTATGACACTCTGATAAAGCCGAAAACTTGTCCATGATTGCCTTAATTTCCTCC